CTCGGGCAACTTCGGGGTAGAAAAAAACACGACAGCAACTGCAGCGGTATTACTACTGGCCGGAGCAGTTGAACGGCGTACAGCACCACGTGGGCTCGTGTCCTACGTGTCAGGTGATGAAGAGCTCGCGAAAGAGAAAGGTGGGTCAATTGCAGCCGATTCCACCGCCCGAGCGTGCCTGGCAGCAAGTTACCATGGATTTCGTCACGGGTTACCTTCGAAACCCTTGGGTAACGACACGGTTATGGTCGACGTTGACAGACTTCACTTCACTGCACGCAAGAAATCGATCTCAGCCGAAGAAAACCGCCCGCCTGTTCATCGCAGCCGTCGTTCGACTGCACGGGATACCAACCGCGATAATCAGCGACCGCGACCACGAAGTTTACCAGCAACTTTTGAAGAACTTCTGGGAGCAGTTCGGGACCAGGCTATAGTTCAGTTCATCGTACCACCCCGAGACCAGCGGTCAAAACAGAGCGGACCAATCAGACGATGGAGCAGTTGATTCGGGCCACGTGCGACGACCCAACAACTTGGGAAAGCAGCAGCTGCCGCTGTGGAATTCGCCTACAACAACGCCACGTCAGCGACGACGCAGCAGTCCCCGTTTTACTTGAACTATGGGCAAAACCCAACAGTTGCCCATGACGCCGGAGTCCGGACAACCCAACGCCACGAGCACGGCAATTCGCCGAGATTCTGCAAGCTGCCCGCACCAGAGCCGCAGAAGCAATTAAAAAAGCCAACGTCATCGCTAAACGCAACGCTGACCGCCACCCGCCGCCCATATCACGTATCAGTCAGGAGATTACGTACAGCTCGACAGACAGAACTTAAGATTGCCCGTCGTACCAAAATTACGACCGCGCTACTGTGGACCATTTCAAATCAGACACATGATTACCCCAGTTACCGCCCACTTACTGTTGCCGACAGACTGGTACATCAGCCCATCATTCCACGTCAGCCTGCTTCGCCCTTAAATCCCAAGCACGAGCCAACTGCCTCATCACCGCCCGCCATCCATGACTCGCCCTGCATCGGAGCCGATCATCGAGCCCGAAAAAAATATGAGCCATCGGATTCGCCACCTCACTGGCATCAAGAGGATCGAGTTTCCTAGTTCGCTGGAAGGACCGCACGTCAACTGAGGACAGCTGGGTGTTCCTGGCCAATTTCGAAAACCACCCTGCCCTGCAAGTGTACATGAGGAGCCGGGGGTTTCCGCGATATACACACACTCGCGTAGCGGAGGGGGCTTCTTGAGGGGGGGTAGTGTAAGGAATTTTCTCGCTATTTCTTACCGCGACCGTCTACATCGCATACAGCAGCAGCCGTTTTTCGCCCGTTACTGCTAACGGGGCTTCGCCAACTTCGCGCGCACTGTTTCACCAAAACCTCGCTCTGCAGGAGCAGCCAAGTCGGCCTACGCTTCGGGACCAGCCCGAACCTCGCACCAGCGTAGCACTAGCTAGCTCGCACGCTACCGCGTCACCGTTTGCACATTTTCGCGTATAAGTATTCGCTCATACCTTCGCTCATATTTTGTTCTCATTGAACACTCTAGTGCTATCCTCGCTACCTCGATTCACTGCACCTGTAACAGTTTTCTTCGATAGTGCAATTCTCGCTCGCTCAATTGCACTCGTAACAAAATAAAACCTTCATTTAGTTTCCGTTATGTGGTTGCGAATTACATGTTACGCAACCGATATATTATAACCACCGACCTGCCAACAACAATACCCACGCATCATCGCGGTGCTGGAAGTCGTGGCGGTGATACCAATCAGTGGTGGCCTCCATAGTCCAAGGAGGCGCGCTGGTTCTGGTGGGTGGTCCAACTTGCCCAATTGAATCTGCCGTTTACAGGTCGCCTCGTGGACTCTCAGAGAAGCCGAACGAATGACGTCCAGATGCGTCGCTACGTTGTCAATCCCGTGATGTCCACGTCGGCCAATCGCATCCACAACGTTCCACCGACGTGTCCACCCACCACGATGAAGCTTTCGATACACCGTACTTTCCACGAAGCAATTTATCGGTGCACCGCTGGTGACGTTTCGCTTCGCCAACGAAAGCAGTGAAGTCAACCGCTCTTTTCGGGTCGGGGGGGCGGGGGAAATTGGGCATTGGGCAGGCAACCAGCCCCCTACCGAAATGCCCCCCCCCCATCCCAACAACCCACTGTCCGCCACGGATATCCGCCGACGGCATTCCGCTCCCCAGACGCGGAACAAAATCTCGACTCCAACTCGCTCTGTGCACGTGCCGGCCACTATCTCCTCTTCCTGGGCACGTGGTCTTCCTCTGTAGATCGCGACACTTCAGCAAGCCTTGGCTGACCTGGCTCGCGATAACTCGCTGTACAATATTCGCTTTGGCGGGAACATTGCCTTGAGCCTGCTCCTTGTCCCTCGAACACACCTGCAAGGTGTGCCCTAAACGTGTTTCTGGAGAATCCCTCTCGGCCTCCTCACCCTGTCCACCTTGCTGAAACGTTTTTGCTCATGGCTGCTTTTCCCTGCTGTGGTCCCAGCGCTCAGGCCATTCCGCCACAGTGGGGAGCAATGGAGCCTGGAGAGTTGGGAGGTATGGCCAGGCTCCTTAGGGTTTGCAGGAAAGCCTTTTCATTTTTCAGGGTTGCAGCAATCGTTGGGTAGATAGAGGTTGGCCTTCGCACCCTTTCTATCATCCCAGGAACCTAGATCCGTCTGCTTATTCACGGTTACTACGCCCTATTGACCGAGTCTCTCAGAACCCAGTGACCAGAATTAAAAAGCCATGGCAGCCATCGCTACCCTACCTCAGTCCTCGTTCGTAGTCGGAGCTAAAAGCTCATCAACGAGATCACGCAAACTTTCACAGGTGTCCCTTCAGCCAAAGACTGGCTCGCTTCCGTCGGATTGAAGGCCAAGTCTAGTGGTCGGAAGCAGGCCTGATGTGCGAATGGAGAGTGCGTCCGTTTTGGCGTACCAAAGCTCCAACGGCTCGGATCAAGTTGAGAGTTGGACCGACCCTTCCATGGTGTCCCCAGCGGTTACACAACAGAAGATTGAATCATGGCTTCAACACTCCGCTGCTGATGTAAGCTTTGTGTAATCCATTCTTTTGTTTTCTGTTTTCATCAATCAAGTATCTTATCACTGCATCTATTGCAAATGTTGGAATTTCACGTCAGTGTTAAAAATCTGAGACTAATCTTCGCGATTCTTTTCTTTCCCTTCCAGATTATTCGACATCCTCGACGACGCTCCTTTTTTCCATCTCGTTTTCGACGGGGTCCGTGGCTTCCGGTCTCCCGTTCGACAACGGCTACCACAGGGTATTGTGGATCACGCTGACAGCTGGTCGTCCGTACGACAAGCAGTCCAGAACGACGACCCAGATGGTCTCATCTTGGTTCACCGGCTCGATGAGAGCGATCTTTCCAAGAGATACGGTCAGGAGATGTCCGGAGAGCTTGAAGAGTTGGCACCGCCCTCTAATCCCTGCCAGACGAACGTGTGGGGTTTGGTGGTGTTGGAAGAGCAAGCCACCGGCACGCCTGTTACATATGCTTAAGACGGACACGTTGCTCCGCGGCTTCCTCGCTATCTGCCACACGGTTTTCCATTACAAGAGCCAAGTGCTTGGCGCTTCCGTCACAAGCAGCGGAGCAAGCATGGTTGAACAACTAGCTAGATCTGTTACCTGATTGTTTTCGGTAGTGTAAGTATGTATATTTTAGTCATTCCATTAGGCTTTCTCTCAGTATATGTCCTAACGCTAGTGGATAAGATTATCCGAACGCTTTTATCTTGCATATTTTGAATGCCAAATCCATTTTGGAAGTCAAAAGACCCAGGTACCTGACATGCTTTAGTTGATACTTGGATGCCTTGGTGTATGTCATTGTGTTCCGGTAACCTTGGTGTCCATGGCACAATTGTCGCATTACGTCCATTTAGAAATAAGTAGATCGGAAATCCTTTCTGCCTTAAGAGTTAAGTAAAATAAAGCACATCTATCGCTGTAAAACCGAGCAGCGTCAAGAATCAATCGAAGCATCGTGCTAGCCTTGACAGATTTCTCCTTCCAGTAGAAATCTTCCAGCGCCGTTCATTGCTCCGTCGAGTCACCCACCGCTCCTCCTGTCGGCAATGTAAACTCCGCGTGCGCCTCGGCAGTTCACGGCAGCCAATGGGTCGCAAGCAATCCGCGGTTCGCACCGGAAATTCCCTTCCCATCCCTTCCATGTCACTATAAATTCAGCTCCAACCACCAGTTCGACATCAACAGCTAAACCAGTCAAACACACTCAATTCAGCTCCAGTGTTGCTCCCATTAACAAGCCTTTCCTTTTTTACTGGCTTCTCGGCGACCTGAATTAGCTAATCGCAGCTATCGAATCGCATCGCCTTAGTCGGCCAATCATGGCACGCAGTTCTGCTCCGGCTGCAATCTTCACAGCACTCCTCGTCACAGGTGCGAATAGCTGATACTTTCGACTCATACAATCTTAGCTGGCGCTTTGCATGCCTGAAGAATGATATTTCCCCATCTCTGACTCATTGTTATTTTCTTATATTGTGCTCGACATGCAGTGCTCCTCGCGCAAGGAATTGAAGCAAGATTTCTTCCCACCAACCGCCTTCCGACCAACATCAAGCCATCCGAAGCAGCCGCCAAAGCAGCCGCCGCGGCCTCAGCAGCTGCCGCAGCCGCAGCAAAATCAGCGGCCACAGCAGTCGCAAACATTAACGCCAGCCCCGCATCCCTCAACTCCAGCATTTCCGACTTCGTATCGTCCCTCAATTCTTCTATCACCGACTTCGTGTCGTCGCTCACGGGAGGAATCGACCAACTGGTCGTGAGCATCAACAGCAGCGTGTCTGCAGCGGAGGCCGCGCTCCAGGCGCAGGTATCTGCGTTAAACGCCAGCCTCGCTGCGCTTAGCGACAGCCTCACGCATCTAAACTTTCACGCTCGCCAGAGCGAATATCTCGTCGGACGGGATGATCGCGTCATCATCACTAGCGCCGCTGCTGACGGCCTTGAAGTCGCAGCTTTCGTCGCTCGAGTCGAAGCTGTCGGCTGAGGCCTTGAAGGCTCGCATCGACGCCCTCGCGAAGGACCTCGCCGGTTTCGCGGCAACGGCGGGGTCCGCGGGGGCGCAACCGGCGCTCATGGCAGGTGCGCAGCCCCTCTCGACGGTGGGGACTTCTGGCGCGGCGTCCGGCGTCCCTGCCGCCGGCGAGTTGGCGAGGCAGATCTCCGATCTGACGCAGCGGCTCGCGGGGATCAACGGGAACGTCAACGCGCTCGCTGGGATGGTGAACGTCGTTGCTAGCGGATTGCTAACGGCGTGAACGGGGCTCTCAATGGCGGTGTGGACGGCAGCGCGGTGGCGAATGTCGCGAATCTTTCTGCCCCAGCAGGCGGGCATTGCTGCGTGCCGTGCTAACGTCATGCAACGGCCTGCTGTCTCTCCAAGCCGGCGCTGCTGATATTCAGATCCTCAAGATGTAAGTCACTCGCGCACGTTGACTCATCCACTCCGCCTCTAACTCACATTGACCAGCCACCCATTAGTTCCCCTCCCACCAGGCTTTTTCTTGCATTCTGGTCCTACACCGTCCCTTCAAACGTGCTGTTAATGATCGTGCAAACCTCCTATTCCCTTGATCACACTCTCTTTCCTTCATCCCTCTCCTCTTTTGCCTTTCCTTTTCTCCTATGCAGTGGCTCGGACTATCTGCTCACATACTACCTGTACGTAGCAGGAGTGACCAAGGCCCCAGACTCTCAGGCCATTTTCAACGGCAACCCTTGCAACACTGCTGCCACTGTGCCCCTCGCCCTGCCTGGCACGTGGGTGCCCATGAGCCCTGTGTCCTGGTCGCTGGCCAATGTCGTGAGGGCGTCAGCTGCTGACGTGGTGGATCTGCTCTCATCTCTCCAAGTGGTCACCAATGACAGGCTATATGTGGGCTTCTTTGGCCCTGACGGAGCACTATCAGGAAAGATTATTGGGGGGAAGTTTTAGAGGACATGAGAGATAAGCAATGGTTGGAACATTTTAGATACTCCAAACTCCTCATTTTTTTTTTTTTTTTTTTTTCACGAGGTGCTGGATCTGTCATGTTCCATCCACTGTGTAAGCAGATGCTGGGTTATATGTTATCTTATTGGAGCTATTGATGCTGCCTAATGCAACTACCTTAATCTATGTGTCGTATGGATTGAAACGTTATGCACTCCAAGCGTTCTATGTACTTCAATTGAAATTGTGCCCCATGTTGGGTCATCTTCGTCACACTATCTGAAACTCCCAAGCGCGTAACAAATTCTGTGTTGGGCTGGGCAGCAGTTTTTGTTGCCTAGTGCCGACATGACATCCTATCCGTGCTGTCCATCCGTCAAAATCTCAGTACCCATCCGAACACCGCTTAACCTCTTTGTGCCAATCTACAGTGCTTCGCAGGAGCTTCACGGGTACATTGGTACTATCGAGTACAGTATTTTCAAACCCGAACCCTGCCCCTCCCCTCCCGCATAGGAGATTCGTTGCTACTGTAGTCTAATCTTGCATGTCTCCGCACCGCAACTAGAATTTCCGTTAGTGGCTTCTGTTTCCTTACAATAGCCGTTGAACAATGCGCAAGTCCGTCAATGGCGCGCCATGCATCTTTCACTGGCTTGACCCTCATTGCGCTCCTCGTCACAGGTGAAATTTACTGGAACCCTGATGGTTACGCAGTACACCGCCGCGTTTGCCGCCGCATTTGGTTGGATACATTCTTACCGTTCTAATATCGCCGACTAATTCTTTCCTTGAATGTTTACCTCGACGCTGGATTGATTCGCAGTATATGTGTCAAGAACCGAAGCATTCTGCTATTTTTCTCCCAACCGACGACCTCTGTAACAAAATAAAGGCAAGCATAGTGGCCGCGGCCAACGCAACCGAAGCAGGCGCCAAGAGACTCACCGCGTCGCTCAACACCTCCGTCTCCTCTTTCGACTCATACATAACGAAGCAAGTTGGTTACCTCGACAAGAGCATCAACAGCAGCACATCCGCTACAGATGCCGCTATTCAAGACCATGTATCCTCGTTTGAAGCCAGCCTCGCTGATTTCTCCGACTGGCTCGGCAGCATCAACTTAACATCGACGGAAGCAACAGACCATGCGCGTTCAGGAAAGGCAGCAGCAGCGGCGCCATCACCGTTAGCCTCGCAGCTTCTGGTGCTAGAATCCAGCATTTCGGGTTTGCAGTCGAGTATCCGCGCTTTATACCGGGATCTCAGGCTGACAGCTGGTATACGCAACTTGCGAGGTCGACGCGCGGGGGTTTTTGCACGCGGGACGGTTCCGACAAGCGCAGCAGCCGGCGTGCGCGCCGCGTTGGTGAGGCAGAGGTTGTTGCGGCAAATTGCGGTTGTGGCGCGGAGGGCAGCGGAGGTCAATGCCGCCGTTGCTGCGTTTTCTGAGAACTTAAATAGCCTAAATGGCCAGAGGGCGCCCTAAACAGTTTCATGTGTGTGCAACTGGCGGAGGTTTAGAAAGACGGCTGCATTTGGGCGGGTTTCAGGGACTGGCCTCCTCTAGGATTGGGGCATCTATAATGGAATCAGTACTACTGGCCATTTAGGAAGGGCCAGCCAAGTGCTTTGGGGCATGGTCCCACAAGCAGCTGGATCTAGCCTGGCAGAAGCTGGGGCTTGTGGATTTTGTAGTGTTGAGTTGACTCTACACTTGTAGGAAGCTATAGTCTCCTGTTTGTATATTGGATTGCTAATTATGAACATTTTCTACAGCTATTTCCGTTCAACATATTGATAGAATTTCTCTAGCTTGGAGGAGATCTGACTTGTGAGGGCATATTTGATACAACCTAGGTACCGTCAGCCCCCGGATAGTAGCGCCCCTGGGGGTACGGTATAAAAAAAACACTGTTTTTTAGGGGGTGCGCTTATAATCGAGGAAATTTATAAGCGCCGGTGTTTATAAAATGGCAAAAATGAAATGTATTGTTTTTAACATGAAATTGAAGCCTTTTCAAAAGGGGATTCAATCCACATCTAGAACGTTCGTAACCGTGCATGAAAAACGCATCAAATGGCCAATAAGGCGTGGAATCACGCCCATCACGCCTTGCTGGCCTGGCCAGATTCATCGGACATGAATCTGGCACATGCCAGCGCACACGTAGTTTCGGGTGCGACTGCCCAATCAGGGTCGCATGCCGTGCCAGGCACGACTCTGTACAACCACGCAATTGGCAGAAGCGGAAAGATTCCACTCCACCGAGGCATTGACCTCACCACCTCAGCTCCTCTGCGGGGGGATCTTGACAGTTTTCCTCCTCAGCTCCTCTACGAGGCTCATTCTCATCGTTTTTTTCAGTTTCCTTGTTTTCCCTCGGCATGCCTAGGCCATGGCAGGCCGTCCAGGCACTCACTTCCTCTTTAGCCGCAAAACCTGCTGTTGGCAACACTCGCGATTACTCTCAGTGGCAGAGTCGCCCAGTGCCTCCTGCTCCTCCAGCGCCTCCTGCTCCTCCTGCTCCTCCTGCGCCTCCTGCTCCTCCAGCACCTCCTGCTCCTCCCGCTCCGCCTATCGTCGTCATCAACGGTCAGCCCGTTCTGCAGCTCCTCCCTCGCGGTTACTTAGCTTTCGACGCGTACATCTCCGAGCCCGAGCGCAGCGGCGACGATGAACCCGGCCCCGGTCTGTCGCCACGCTAGGGAGACGCGGAAGACTGCCCGTACGACAAATCCGCCACTGGTGCTGAAGAAGATGTTGAGTGGTGGGCGGCCGACGGTCTTCCTGAGGACCTGCCTGTCCCTAGTTTTCCCCCGCCGAATAAGAAACGGCCCCACCCCTCGAAACAGAATCGTGATGCCCGCCCCCCGTCCCCCAGGAGCAAGCCTTCAACGCACAAGCGCAACTCCTACACTTCCCAGGAGAAGCTGCAGTGGATTGCAAAGTTGGAGTCCGGAGCTGTGAGTGTGCGGAGAATGTCCCGCGACACTGGTATCTCCCGAAAGTCCCTGTCAGAGTGGAAGTTGCGGAAGGGTGAGCTTGAAGGCGCGCATGGGGCTCGCAAGCGCCTTCACGGGCGTGGTCGGGCGTCGTGGTACCGCGACATGGAGATCGAGGTGTACTCACGTGTTCTTGCCCACCGGAAAAAGTGTCTCACCGTGTCTGTCGGCCGACTGCAAAAGTGGTCACACGAGGTGATGAAGATCCTGCATCCTGATGTAAAGTGGGCTGGATCTCAGAGGTGGACTGAGCGTTTTCGACGGCGCTGGAACCTCACTACTCAAGCGAAGACCAGAATCGGTCAGAAGTTGTCGTCTGATGAGTCGGTGTTTTGTGCTGACGCTCTCGTCTATGGCTGCTTACTGACCTTCGAAAATCTAATTTTCTTTTTGTTTGTCTCTCCCACCCTTCCCTTGCAGAGTGTGAGACACAGGTGCAGAACTTCTGGAAGTTCGTGCGACACTCCCGCCGATAGTACGGCATCGACAACCGCTGGATTATTAATGCCGATCAAACGCCACTCTGGCTCGAGATGCCAGCTGAACGCACGGTCGAGGAGGTGGGGATCCGCTCCGTGCCCATCCGCAGCGGCGGCTATCAAAAAGAACGCGTGACGGTGATGCTCGCCTGCACCGCCAGCGGCGAGAAGCTCAAGCCTTGGGTCTTCTTTAAGCGCAAGACAATTCCTAAGGGGAATTTCCCCTCCGGTAAGCAGCTTGTGCAGTGATGGTGTCATTTGCATGTGATATGTTTTTTTATGTCTGATGCTAATCTGTCCGTACGCCTTGTTCGGATGTGCAGATGTTGTGGTCGCCGCACATCCCAACGGTTGGATGGACGCGGACGGCGTCCTCTCGTGGCTCGACAAGACGGTGAACCCGTACGTCAACCCCAGGTTCGGAGTACGCAGCAGGAAGGTGATGTTGGTTCTTGACTCCTACCTCGGGCACCTCACTGATGCTGTGAAGGCAAAATTCGGCGAGCTGAACATCGTCCCCCGCCGTCATACCAGCTGGCTGCACCTATGAGATCCAGCCTCTTGACGTCGCGGTGAACCGCTAATTCAAAGCAGCAGTCCGACAACTGTACCAGGAGTGGTTCGAGAGCGAGGGGGTCGACTGCCTGACCGAAAGAGGTGAGCTCAATCCCTACGTGTACGATGTGTCTTCTCTTGACTGTTTCCACCCTGTTCTGATTGCTGTTGTGTTTCCATGTGTGGCAGGCAACATCCGCAAGCCACCTCCAGAGCTGACGCTCAAGTGGATCTCCAAGGCCTGGAAGGCCGTGCCCAAGGAGTTGATTCAGCGCTTGTTTCTCACCTGTGGCATCAGCAACTGCCCTGGATGGGTCCCAGGACAATCTCTGCATGCAGCGCCAGCGGGACGCCGTCGAGGGTGAAGTAGAACTTGACGACGAGATTGCAGCAGATGGATTATGCTGCAACAACGTAGAGGAGCCAGAGTCGGACGGGGAGGCCGACCAAGATGGCTCCGCCACTGTTGACGGTGATGCATAGGATGCTAGGAAGAATAGAAATTAGAGAAGATCTGTGAATGTTGTGGGAAACTACTAGTAGGAAAAATATTATGTTGTAGTGAAAATGTCAGAATGTTATATTTGTCTAGCCTGCAGTGGGGTACTCAATAGTGAGTACAGCCCAATTTAGGGTTTCCTATATGTACTCAACTGCCTGCTAGTGAAAATCTCTCTTCTCTGTTCCATTCTTCTCGTCAATTATAACATGGAATCAGAGCAGGTCGACCTTCACAGGTCAATCCTGTAGATGGGCCCATCCAATACTTCCGCTGCTGCTACTCTGTCTATCGCGCGCCTCGGGCGCGCGCTGCCTGCTTGCCTGCCGCGCTCCCATGGCGCGCGGCCATTTTTAGCGCGCGGCGGTTTTTCTGACCGTCGCGCCGCCCTGGGGGCCGCGCGACGCCCTACTCTGCCCGTCGTGCGCCCCGTGGCGCGCGGCGGTGCCCTGCCCGTCGCGCGC